TAAATATTATAAAATATATAATGAAAGTTGTCCCCAGGAGTTGTGTCTCTGGTGTTACTGCGCAACAAAAAATCTCTTATTTTGAAATAAAAGTCACACTGATGACATTCGACTTCCTTTTACCTGTTGTCTGAGGATCTGTGAAGAAAAGCTCATGGTGAGTCCACTGTGTCTTTCAGTTATCAGAGATTTTCTCATTTAGCTCATGATTTCATATGAAGCTTTTAGCTGAAGTCACTGGTGTGACCGACTTTATTCTGAGGTAATTGTGAAAAAATAGAACACAAATGGATTAAATTCCATATTTTAGTGGATATTCCATGATGGACAACATGTGGTTTGATGCTCTGTAGCAGCCATTTTGTAAAATGCATTGTTCATTAAAAATGTCTCTGGTGTTCCTTTATTATGTGGAACACCAATGAGGATCAGTAACACCAGTGACACCTTTTACAAACATTGAACAATGGATTAGCATCATGGAACACAGTATGGTTAATATTGAGTTTTCAGTCTACGTTTACAACGTCAACTAATAGACTCCTTTACCACTGTCTTACTTTACTAACCTTTTTTGTTGTAGCCTCATTCATTGCACGTATTGATTTATATTAATTCATTCATGTTTTGGCCCAAATATGACCAGTCAAAATGCATCTTTATTGCTAGACAGATTTTGCAGAATCCAATTAATCATTACATCCTATTTGACTTCGGTATTTCCGCAAAATCTCCTGAAACGTGAAAAGTAACGAAGTACTGTACGTAATACTGCACTCTTACGCTGCTTGATTGGTTGGTCAGTTTGAATGTAACCAGTCAGGTCACTGACGAAGTACATTCTGCAAGCTATGTGCCAAAAGAAAACAGAGAGCATTACCTCACTGTTATTTTATTGCTTGTCTGTTTTTATTAGCAGCAGCTTGTGCTGCAAGAATGATGTGAGCGTCTGTAGAGAGTAAGACGTTAAACTAGGCTCAATGTGGACCATCACAAAAATGCATTCTCACCAGCAGTAAACTGAACCATGGACCATCTGGAAGCTCACCGAGACGTGGTTTTGGTGGACCATGGTTTGGCTCAGTGTATGGACTGTAGCTGTAGCTAACACTACAGAAGGTAGACATAATAGTGCCCTTGGAACACTTTCGTCAAACAGTGTCTCAAGCATCATGGTTGGATAGCCTTCACTTTCAGTCCGAAGACAAATTCATTGGATAATTTTTGTCTATAAAGCGATTATCGGTCAGCTTCCCTCATATTTGTCTGCATTCATATCAACAAATAAATCTCAATGCAGTTTATGTTTTAGTAGTTATATTCAGCTGGATGTTCCGAGAGTACGGTCTGAATATGGTGAGGCAGCTTTTAGTTACAGCTTTGCATCTGCAGAAACATTTGAAATTGGAGCAGTTTATTTCCTTTAGCGATTTTAAGATAATTGTTAAAGAATTTAATCTTTGTTTGTTTCTGTGTTTAATTTGGTTTTGACTCTGATTTGATTCTGTTGGTTGTGGTGTTGTTTCTGTTGATTGTTTTGTGGGCTCACTTGTAAAAGAGGTTTTTATTCTCAATGCCATTGCCCAGGTTAAATAAAGGTAAAATAAAATAAAATAAAAAAAATAAAATCAGGCTATGTATTCATAACCATTACCATTTCTGGTAATAAAGTTCTGTGGTGTAGCTTTAAGGCACATTAAATGCTTTGGATGTGTGTCCTATCAACACCGTTTTGACTTTTCTTTAGAATGATATCTCATATCAAACCATTCTGAGTCACTTTAATGATGCAAAATGGATGTAATTCCACACGATTATTGGAAAAGTTAAGTGAACTGGAAGATCAGATTGTGTTGATCTAATGTTTTATTCCATTGGAAGTGATGTATATATTTCAATGCATCACTCTTTCCAGTGTTTCCGGAAATTATGATATGAAAATTAAAGCACTCTGCTCTATAGCAAAGACAAAACCATCATGGAAGATGAAGAAACCTTGAGAGGAGCCAACTCAAAAGGGGAACCCATCCTCCTCTGGTCGACACCGGATAGCAAAACAATGAGTGCGTTTACGTGCACTTAATAATCCGATAACTGCAGAAAATCAGATTTTGTTAGTAATCCAGTCAACACATGTTTACATGCACTTGAGTAATCAGATAATGGGGAAACTCTGGGTCGACACGAGTCAGACAGTAATCGGATTTCTGCTTTACAACCAGGAAACGTAATGTAAAACTCAAAACTTCATGCCGCGTTTTTTTTTAAACGTCGCATCACTTTACTTGAAAATATGAACACAAATCATCTAGAAGATGAAGAATATTTAAATCCTTTATTTTGTACTTCGTTTCAGTGCCTCTCCAAAAGTGTTTTGCTGCATCTCGTGGCGACTCTGCTTGCTTATTTCCGGTACTGTTGTCTGTTTTTGCGCATGCGCAGACTTAGAAATCTGAAAGAAATCAGAGTCAGAGTTTACATGCACTGAGAAATCTGATTACTGAGCTAAAACCCAGCCTCGTTATCAGATTTCTTAATCGGATTTCTAGATTGGAGTATAGTGTTTACATGACCATTTGAATAACTAATTTGGATAACTGCAGAAATCTGATTATGATCGGATTATTGAGTGAATGTAAAGGCACCCAATAACAGAAGGGCAGTATGAGAAGAGAATAAGGTTTGACCACTATGTAGTTAACAAGTGTTAACAAGAAGTACAGTGAATCACCAGTATAGACTTCTGTGAAATAACCAGCTCAGTGTACCTGAGAAAAAAATGGCCTTTGGCACCGTTTTCATGATACATTTACTGATGATAATTGTCTCATGTTAATGATAAAGTAGAGAGTGGGTAGCCCAGACTGGGCCTGTGACCCAGATTTGTGTGGGGCCTTGAGATCAAGATCAGTGAGAGTTAAATCTTTAATTACTGTCGCACGAAGGTCCCTTGGGGACCTGGGACAGGGACTTGGAAATTCCTGTGCAGCCAAGCAGGACCGTATCCCTCCGACATTGATTGAGGATACTCCTGTCTTTGTTAATTAAGCTCCAGACTTAGTGCTATTGGCTGGTCTTTTCTACGGCTACGGTGGTTGGCGAGCATGTTGCTTTTATCCTTTCTTGTGCACTCACTGGCCACTTTATTGGAAACATCCTCCCTGTGGCTCCTTGCTGATGCACAGTTAGAAACTGTAGTCCATCTGTTAGTGCACTAAAGCATTTCTTTTAGCCTTCCTTTACCCTAGGGGTGGGCACTACGGCAAAGGTGTTATATCATGATACTATAAAAATCACAAGTGTCCAGCGTAGGGTTCTCCTTTAGCAGCTGTAGCCAGTCAGCTCCCAGAACTCCAACTCCCAGAAGCAATAATCAGAGCTGACCGGTTGCACCTGGGGAACACTGCATAAAAGGTCACACATATGGCAGCTCAGCATTACACCTTTGTAGAGGGGTAACCGGTACGGTACTTCAGCCCATGTGGGTGGAAAGAAAGGAAGAAAGAAAGAAAGAAGGACAGACAGAGAAAAGAAATAGAAAAGGTAAAAGAAAGAGCACCGAAGCAGGCAACAGAGAACGAGCTCAAGGGAGGTTGGTGAGCTGAACTCACCCTTATGCCCACGCAAGCTTGAGGGTGGTTTTGTGTTCTTTTAGTTTCCTTTTTTAACGAAGTTCCTTTGCTTGAGCACACCAGTCTCAGCCCTTGGGCCTCCTTTGTTTGCCCCTGTGGTGCAGAGGTAGCTCTCTACTACTCTACTCCCTCATGTAGTAGGTCGCTGGTTTGAACCCAGCGTCTGCTCTTGCCACACAGTGACACCAAACAAATCCATTTTTCTTTAACACCTCATATCACTAAGTATTCTACACACTACAATAATAAATAAATTACTGAATATACACCCAAGAGCTCTGTGCTTGGGCCCACGACAAACCCCCCCCACCCCCCCCCACCCGTCTAGTGACAATTTTATTTATTTTTTTTTATTATTCTTAGCCTTTTTCCACTGTTGATCTACTGCAGCTCAAACTGCTTGAACACAGGAGACTGAAGGAAACAATCAGAATTATTAATCACTGTTTCTCATTTTCATTATCATTTAAAAAGTTTATGAAGTCTTAAATTTGGACACTTTTTTTTTCTGATTTTTCTCTTTTGGACAAAAACTGAAATTTTTTTTACCATTTTAGGCCAAAATATTTCAGTGGCCGCAACTTACACTGTACTTTGTACTAGCTACCACGGGACTATGGTCGCAACCAAGAGCTCTCTCTTTTTGCCCAGGGTCTGGACATTTATACGTAACTCTAATATTATTAGTACTATTGCCCTAATAACTATCTGTAATCTAATATCTTCAAAAAGGTTTTAAAGCATCAAAGAATATCAACAAAAATGAAAAGAGGATAAAAAGGAATGAAAAAGACATTCCTTTTTATTCCCCTCTGGGGTGATGAGGCAATTTCCCCACCCCATTTACACAATTCCGTACCATTTCAGTCCCCATCATATCCAAACCTTACACCTTTTTTGGTAGCCTTTAAAACCAAATGCATTTGATGCCTTTTTTAAAACCCACTCTGGTCTGACTCTTACTAGATTGTTCTCTCCTTACAGGGCCCACTTGTGCAACTCTCCATATACGTACAAGAGTGTAGCTATAACTTAAACAGTCATCTGGTACAGCTCCCTTCTGTGGGCCCAGAAACTCTTCCCCCGTTAGAGAGTCTACTGCATACAATCCATAGTCTGCTTCCCTATATTACCTTATTAGGAGTGGTCTCTGGTCAGCCAATGTTTAGTTTATTGATTGCTAACCAGGAATATTTTATTCAATCTTTCCCATCACTACCCAGCCCTACAAATTTATAAACCTAACAAGTGCACCTGTATGGTTGATGCTTCTCATAAAAATGTCCAGTGAGTGCAGGTAGAAGTTGGGGGAACCTAATAAAGTGGCAACTCTGAGTAAGCCATCCATGTTTTTTGTTTTCGGTGCAGGTCTGGTCGTCCAGTCAGCTTCATGGTGGTGTTCAACACGCCGAGTCCTCTCAGCAAGATCTCCTGGGTCAACCGCCTTCATCTGGCCAAGATAGCACAGAGTGAGTCCTCATTTTGTGCCTCCTTTGAGTCTTCACACACTTGGATGACTTGTCATTCTGAGACATAATGCTTTCAATTGCTAAGATGTTTTGAAGAGTGCGCACTGACTGACAGGCTCTAAATGAAACGTCTGATGCTACCGTGGATGAACCGTTTTTCTCCTGCCGACTCATCCACGAGTTCACCAGAAGAAAGACAATTTCTATGACATTCTTCTGTCTGACCTTTTTTGCACCGTGCGGACAGCAGCCGTGGTTAGAATGCCAAAATACCAAAGCCCTAAGCCTGAGCCTTTTTTTTTTTTTTTTGCCTCTTGCTAGTTGCGAAATATGCAGAGATAAAACTCGAATTCCTGCTGGAACCGTTCTACTATCTCATCTCCACATTTACAAGGCTATGACTCCTCGTTTTTCCCATTTTTGTCATTTCTGGTGATAACCCAAAGAGCAGGTGTGTTTTATTTTGGCCTTATCATCACATAAAGCTCGCTTTAATATATATTAATCTCGGGGGCAGGGGCATATTGAACCGCAGCCTCATAAAACATGGCCAATTTTGAGCAAGGAACATATCTCTCTGCTTCTTCTTGCACCCAAACCCCAGCAACACCGTTCTGCCTGATACACTCGTACATGCTTGTAAATTTAAACATGCTGTGTCCCATAATGTCTTCAAACTATTGCCTATAGCCAACAGCAGTGCAGTCATTGTCCTACATATTCCAAAGTCTGCAATACAACAACAACAAATATCACGAGAAATGTAGGCCTTAAATCAACCCGACCAACACTGCACCACTTTACTGTGAAGTGTGTGTAGACCAGTCACATAAAATGGTTACAATCAGACAGCTAACACAGCATACGTTGAGGGAGAACAACACCTGCAAACTTAAAAACCTAAACCATGAAGCATCCTAATCACCTTGAGCATAAAAAGTTATGGACCATTCATATCTTACCTTTAATGACTTGATGCGTTAAAGTTGCTATGATGGCGTATTTATACACATGTAAACATGTTTACATCTTTATTTTTTTAACACAAGCTAACAGTTTATCTGTTTTTGTAAATGGGTAGAAAACACACTCTGTCAGACGTTTGTTTTCACAGGCCTCCCAGACAGATCTTTTGACCAATTGCTAAAGCCATGTTGACCAATATAATGGCTTATAGCAATGGTTGCTAAGCGGAGAATGAAGGACAAAGAAAATGAGATGGGCTTGATAGTACCATGATTTTGATTGGCCACAACACTGAAAACAAGTCAAATGTCTACATTTTTAAAAAAATCAGCTCTTGTTATTATTATTTTAATAAAAATCCCCAACAAGTTTTGTGGATATTTTAAGCACTTTGTCTTCCCACACCTTTCTGGCAGGGGTGGGGGGGGCTTGGTGTCTTCTGAGGGTGGGCTAGGCCTGTCCATACCCCATGCCCCATGACACCAGCCGTGGTCCACCACATAAATAATATCCACTCAACAATGGTCATGTGGTCAGAAAATAACCAGTGATGAATGGCTAAGAGGGTGGCTGGCAAATTTTGCATGACAGCACACAAACTACAATGTGATGTAATATAATTGTGCACCTACATAGTGGACCTGTAAGGTTGGCAGAGCTCATAATGTGGTCAGTGAGTGGAAGCTGAAGGTAGATGTTTCCCCTAATGTAGCCAGGAGACGGGAGATCAGTGATAAATGTGGTAGAGGACAAATGGGGTAGCAGGCAGATTGTGTATACCCCATACATGTTACCCCATTAGCAGCTGTTGGTGCAGCTGAAATGTGTGTTTGCTAATTGAGAGTGGGATGGAATTTAACTTCATGAGAGATTAAACTAGCTAAAGAATTGTCTCCTCTTCCTTTCACTCCTGTCTTTTTCACCTACCAGTCAACAGTACAGAGGACAACATATCGAAACAGACACAACAGAGCAAGATATCAGCTCAGAAAGACAGTAATTTCACATATTTTTGTGGATTTTTCCTTTTTTTTTTTCTTTTTTTTCATTTTTTCTTTTTACTTTTTCTAAAGTGGTGAAATGACAACACAGTTTAAAAATGAATGAACAGATAACTGTTTGTTTTTCTCCATTTCAAGCTGCATATATATATATATATATATATATATATATATATATATATATATATATTTTCTAAAATAGCATTTAATCTGTGTTGTTTTTTTGCACAATGTCAGGAGCATAAAACAAAAGCACAGTGTATATATATATACATAAAAAAAACAACACAGATGAACAAGACAAGAAGCACCTTATACACTGCAATAATACAGCAATTAAATGCTATTTTAGAAAAATAATCACACTGCATATTACGCATACACATACACACATCATTTTACTGTCTTAAAAACACTACGACATTTTGTTGCTTTCACATTTTATTCTTTCCAGTCATCGTAATTTTAACACTATAAAGTTTGGTCAGTAGGGGGAGCCAACCATACTGTTGGTTTGTTGGCTCCCTGCAGAAACAACTGCATGAATAAGGGCACCTTTCAGGTACTTGATATGTAAACGAGGTGCTGGTAGGATGGCGCTTGATTTCACGCACTAAGAAACTGTTTTATCATTTGTGCTCAAATCTCTGCTTGTGTTCACGTTGTGCGAAAGTTTCATGAATCAAACGCAGATTAGGGTGTACATCTTTAAAAGCGGTCAGATCTGTGCTCTTTGAATGAGTAAGGGTCAGCGTGCTTTCTTATGTACAGTATTTCAAAGTAAAACTGTAGCACTAAATAAAACTATCAAAAACACAAAAAAAGGATGGCACCCAATCAGCCGCTGGCCTGGCCAGCTGGAATCTCACTCCAACAAAAATATAAAAGTTGGCAGCCCTGGTATTACATATATTGCGAGCAAAATTCAAAATGCATTGCAGTTGAATTGCAAGGTTCAAGCTAAGAAAAACAGATTGAAGCATGGATAGTGCGTGGCCTAAAAGCACTTGGCATGAAAAAGCATCCATCATTGTTCACTGTCTGACCATTGGCTCAGTGGAGGGTGGGGGAAAAGGTATGGGGTATTAGGTCAGTCTTGGAGATAGAAAGTAAGAGAGAGAGAGCGAGAGAGAGAAGCACTCAAATACAATCATCCATTCAGCAGGCTGGTCTTGTTGCACTGAAGCTGTATTCAAAATGCGTATGTGCAGTTTTTTGGGTTTATTCTCGGGTCGAGCTCAGGGCATGGGCGGAATGGCGAGTGCTTCAGATGCATGAGTGAACTTGTAAAGGCTCTGTTCACTTTTCCGCAGCACAAAATGTCTTATTCTGGATCAACTACAGTCGTATATTTAAGAGGACGGCCTTTTTTTTTCTTTCCATGACACTTTTGACCAGAAATACTGGGACAGGATTTATTATCAAAATAAAATTATGTTGAAAATAATTTTGTTAAATGACAGGCAATAATTTTGATGCATTTTGCTTTACAGTTTAAAGAGAAAAAAGTTAAAATATAAATAGTATAAAAGTATAAATATAAACAGTTAAAGTATAAATATCAATAAAGAAAACACCCTAAAATATGGTGAGTGTGCGCTGCTGTGAGTCGTCCTATAAAGCCTGAAGTAGTAATTTAAAAGTCAGAGATGTAGGGTCGAGTTTTTCAGACCACATCATGCATCCTTACAGATTAATTTCACACATACAAGCTCAAAAAGAAGGTCTGGCCCGGTGTTTAGGCCTCAAATACAAAATTATACTGATGAAGATGTGATGACAAAAGTAGATAATTCACTAATTAACATCCTAAGAAAGACACGTCCTCACCAAGTTCGGTTTGAATTCTCTTTCAACTCACAATCATCAGATTCATCTACTCGGGGAAGGGGTCCAAAGGCTTTGTTCACACAGCAGGTAAAAGTGGCCCAAATCTGATCTTTTTCTTCATATGTGACACAGATGTGTGGCTGTGTGTCAGTGTGAACAGATAAACACACTGAATCTGACATTTTCAATTCTAATTTGAGACGCTTTCATATGTGGGACAGAAATCCGATACATATCCGATACGTGGCAACGCGAGTCAGTCTGAACAGCCAGATCGGAATGAATTTTACGTCAGTCCAACTTGACATTCGTCATAATTTCGTGCTGCTGAGACTCATAAACATTTAATGTTTATGACAATGTAGAAGAGACTCATCAAAACCCTCCGTGTTTGAAGAGATTTCTAAAGAACTGTCCGAACGCGGCCGCAGGAGAACGAGGCTGCAGCGTCAAAGAACAGTTAAAAGTCTGAAAGCAAAGTTTAAAGAATCCGAGGACGCGAACCAAAGAAGTGACTGTGCCCTTTTTACGGCTGGAACACATTCTGGGTGATGAGCCCAGCTGTCAGTCAGTGAAGCTTCATGATGGCTCCTGTGATGCTGGTGAAGATGAAGTTGATCCTCCGGGAGCGACTGGCGTTCGCTGGCAGTCGTGATTGTTTACCTCTGGATGAGCCGTGAAGCAGCGTGAAGCATTGATCCTTTGCTCATGTGGGTCAGCCAAACAAAAAAAATCTGATTTGGTGAGAAAATCAGATTTGGGCCACTTTCACCTGCTGTGGAAATGTAGCCTTAGTGTTCTTCCACATGTTGTGTCCACATTGCGTCTTCCACATCCCCGAAACTTGTAGTTTTAACTGGAAAACAAGCATCAAAGTTGTTGTTTCACATAAATAATGAATAATAATGAAGCATGTGTGAAGTTACTCCTGTGACATGCTAATCTCCATAGATGACATGACTAAAATTTACTAACATAAAAAACAAATAATAGAAAAAAGTTCAATTGAGTAGAAGAATCATAGTTTTTTTTTTGTTGGCTAGTTTAGGAATGAAACAAAGAAAATACAGGCAGACTCCCTATGGTCTATTTATTTATTTTTTTTTTGCTCATTTTTATGATTTCAGTGTTGTGGGATTTGTCGCCATGTGACTCAAATGCAACCAAAATCTATTAATACAATGATTTGTAGTCAATATTTCA